ATATATATATATATATATATATATATATATATATATATATATATATATATATATATATATATATATATATATATATATATATATATATATATATATATATATATATATATATATATATATATATATATATAATGCACAGACTACCCTATTCCAGTAGCTGAAGTTTATAACTTTTTAGAATAAAAAGGGGATGTGCAGTGCAGGGGTTTCTAAAAAGTTATAAACTTCAGCTACTGGAATAGGGTAGTCTGTGCATTACGCATTTGGCACTGAGTTTTCCCATATAACAGGAACCGATGAAAGAGCATTAGAGGTCCCACACTATATCATTGCCTGGGAGAGGATTGGAGTTCTGGTTGGTTAAATACCCCAGAATTCCTACCTCTCTAATGGCTTTGAAGTATGGTGTAGCGGATACAGCATGCAACTGCCACCTTGTTGGCCAGTGTTTGAGTCCCCTGGTGGGTTGAGTGTCTAAAAAGTATATATATATATATATATATATATATATATATATATATATATATATATATATATATATATATATATATATATATATATATATATATATGTCGTACCTAGTAGCCAGAACGCACTTCTCAGCCTATTATGCAAGGCCCGATTTGCCTAATAAGTCAAGTTTTCATGAATTAATTGTTTTTCGACAACCTAACCTACCTAACCTAACCTAACCTAGCTTTTTTTGGCTACCTAACCTAACCTTACCTATAAAGATAGGTTAGGTTAGGTTAGGAAGGGTTGGTTAGGTTCGGTCATATATCTACGTTAATTTTAACTCCAATAAAAAAAATTTTACCTCATACATAATGAAAAGGGTAGCTTTATCATTTCATAAGAGAAAAAATATAGAAAATATATTATCAGGAAAATTCTTGCATAGGAAAACTTCTCGCTTATTAGGGTAAATCGGGCCTTGAATAGTAGGCTGAGATATATATATATATGGCTACTATATATATATATATATATATATATATATATATATATATATATATATATGTCGTACCTAGTAGCCAGAACGCACTTCTCAGCCTATTATGCAAGGCCCGATTTGCCTAATAAGTCAAGTTTTCATGAATTAATTGTTTTTCGACAACCTAACCTACCTAACCTAACCAAACCTAACTTTTTTGGCTACCTAACCTAACCTAACCTATAAAGATAGGTTAGGTTAGGTTAGGTAGGGTTGGTTAGGTTCGGTCATATATCTACGTTAATTTTAACTCCAATAAAAATTTTTTTACCTCATACATAAAAAAGTTAGGTTTGGTTAGGTTAGGTAGGTTAGGTTGTCGAAAAACAATTAATTCATGAAAACTTGACTTATTAGGCAAATCGGGCCTTGCATAATAGGCTGAGAAGTGTGTTCTGGCTACTAGGTACGACATATATATATATATATATATATATATATATATATATATATATATATATATATATATATATGTCGTACCTAGTAGCCAGAACGCACTTCTCAGCCTACTATTCAAGGCCCGATTTGCCTAATAAGCCAAGTTTTCCTGAATTAATATATTTTCTCTAATTTTTTTCTTATGAAATGATAAAGCTACCCATTTCATTATGTATGAGGTCAATTTTTTTTTATTGGAGTTAAAATTAACGTAGATATTTGACCGAACCTAACCAACCCTAGCTAACCTAACCTAACCTATCTTTATAGGTTAGGTTAGGTTAGGTGGCCGAAAAAGTTAGGTTAGGTTAGGTTAGGTAGGTTAGGTAGTCGAAAAACAATTAATTCATGAAAACTTGGCTTATTAGGCAAATCGGGCCTTGAATAGTAGGCAGAGAAGTGCGTTCTGGCTACTAGGTACGACATATATATATATATATATATATATATATATATATATATATATATATATATATATATATATATATATATATATATATATATATATATATATATATATATGTCGTACCTAGTAGCCAGAACGCACTTCTCGGCCTACTATTCAAGGCCCGATTTGCCTAATAAGCCAAGTTTTCCTGAATTAATATATTTTCTCTGATTTTTTTCTTATGAAATGATAAAGCTACCCATTTCATTATGTATTAGGTCAATTTTTTTTATTGGAGTTAAAATTAACGTAGATATATGACCAAACCTAACCAACCCTACCTAACCTAACCTAACCTATCTTTATAGGTTAGTTTGGGTTAGGTAGCCGAAAAAGTTAGGTTAGGTTAGGTTAGGTAGGTTAGATAGTCGAAAAACAATTAATTCATGAAAACTTAGCTTATTAGGCAAATCGGGCCTTGCATAGTAGGCTGAGAAGTGAGTTCTGGCTACTATGTACGACATATATATATATATATATATATATATATATATATATATATATATATATATATATATATATATATATAAAATTTGTGCCCTTGAAGGGTTAAAAGGTGTGCAGTGCAGGGTTAAACTGCTTCGTGGGATTCTCTCTGGTATAAATGTTTTTGCCACATTTTTCCATTGCAGGTGCTGTAAGTTGAAGTCTCCAAGCAAGATGATGTTTGGAGCAAGGTTTGTGCGATTTTCTAAGCAGTATTCTATTCTTGTAAGTTGGTCTTTAAACTGCTTGTGATTTGTCTCTGGTAATTTATATACAAGGACGATCACCACATTTAGGGATTTCTGTTTTGATTATCATCACTTCAACCATATCGTTTGTGGTGTTAAGCAGCTCTGCACAGATGAGTGTGTCTTTGATGTACAGGGTGATCACACCCTGTAACCTATGTTTTCTATCACATCTGTAAAGATTGAATTCTGGTATCTATATCTCATTGTCATAATAGTCCTTTGTGTAAGTTTTAGTGAAAGCTGCAAGCATTGCATTTGTCTCATTTAGGATGGACCAACACTAGGATGGACTGAAATGTCGTCGGTTCTTTTACTTCTGATGTGTGGTTTGGTCATCAAGGTGGTGGATGCCAAAACCATCATTAATTTAAAAGCATCATATGACAAAAAGTTCTGGGAAGATGGGACACCACAAGTGTAGCTCTCATTCTGTAACTAAGATAATTACAAGATCAAATTGTTTTAGACATAATGGGAACAAGTGAGGAAATATACCACTACTAGTACATTATTGAACTAGGACGTCCTAGAACATGCTTAGCACACACACCTAAATCCTGACACAATGTACTTAAAAACTGCAAAAGTAATGCATAAAAATCATGAGGAGAATTACCCCTGCTTACAGGCAAGGAAAACCCAGAGAAATGCTATTGTAGCATAAACCCACTGCACAAATGAGATGCAAAGTTTCCAAGGTTAATAAAAGCTGCATAACCTGCAGCCAAGATATATCAGGATTGAAAGTGAGAAGGTTCAGGTGGCTGGTTTTGTTATGATCATAGTATTATCACCACGTGTTAGTTTTAATAATCAAGTGGATGATTAGGTACTTAATGAGGAAACTTTGGCAATTTTTGTGTTGCCAAGAACAGGCTTTATGGTTTATATTTGGCATTTATCAATCAAAATTCTTAATTAGATTGGGAATAATCCAGTCTCTCTCTCTCTCTAGTACAGTACCAGTATGATCTGGTGGGGATGGTCTGGAAAGTTTGTCATCTCGCTTGTACAGAGTATTGACTTACCCTTACTGGTAGATCCTAATTAAAGGTGTGTAGCATCTTGCCTAAGGAAGTAACTGAATAGGATAGCCCAGAAAATCCAGTTTTTACACAACAAAGAACAAATATCACAAAGTGAAAAAAATATACAAAATTGTTTAAAAATTATAAATATGTACCATCTTTCATTAAGATTTGTTAGTGTTGCATTTAAATTATAAAAGAAATAAAGAGAGAGAGAGAGAGAGAGAGAGAGAGAGAGAGAGAGAGAGAGAGAGAGAGAGAGAGAGAGAGAGAGAGAGAGAGAGAGAGAGAGAGAGAGAGAGAGAGAGAGAGAGAGAGAGAGAGAGAGGGACAGACAGACAGACAGACAGACAGACAGACAGACAGACAGACAGACAGACAGACAGACAGACAGACAGACAGACAGACAGAGAATGGGGGGAATGAGGGAGGTAGTGTAGAGAACTTTGTTTCACTTATCTGAAAGGACAACTACTTCGCTGTTCATTGTCCACATCTTCTCTTACCATTAAACATATTAATCATAAATTTCAGTATTGTATATAGCAATATTGTAATGAAAAGTAAAAGGATAATATAATAAAGAACTTTGACACAAGTCATTTGTAACCTGGCATAAGAAAGGAGACTTCAGAGTTTGGAATTCCATGATTCAAAGTACTTTGATATACAGCCTTCAGTTCTAACTGTCAGTTAAATTGTATAATTATTATTTATATGTCTAAACTCCATGCTATAATCTACAATATCATCTATGCATAACCGAAGGCTAACTACCAAATTTGAGAATAAACTAAAAAGCATGTTTAACGAGCTTTACTAATGGGCTTGCACTAACAGCTTAATATAAACTGGACAAGCACAAAGCATAGTAACCTTATAGTTACACACTAGATCAGTTTAAAAACATGCATATGCTTATAATATTACCATGATGCAATAAGCTACAGCTTTGATAATTTTAGTCCTATCATCATAATAAATAAAAATATTTAGTAACATCTGCAAAATAATATATTTTCCATCACTAGGTTCATCAATATCTGTTACTGTTTTTCATCATCCCTCATAACAGGAAAGTAATGTTATTAGCATTCAGCATTTCATGTGGAAAAGGTGGAAACATATATTACCTTGAAAAAAGAAAGCATTTGTAGGCAGAGCATAAGTTGCCCTTATATGTTAGAATATGTAAAAATTAGACAGAAGGTAGAAGAGCAAGGCTGGCATTATCAAAAGTGTACCAAGGTGTTTTATTCTAGAACTACAGGATGAGGCGGAGTACAGTACATTACACATAGTACAAGACAACAGACACTTAAATAAAAGGAAGATTATTAAATGACAGAACAAACCCAATCCGGTGGGTTCTCTTGCTGTAGTATTTGTAGTTGAGACCAAAGGTGGGAATGAAGCATGAAAAAGAAAATGGTATGGAAAAGTCTTATAAGATGGAATGAAGTGGAGTTACAGGGTGGAACAGGGAAAAGCTTGGCAAGCATTTCATCCCGTCCTGATGGTTTAGCCGATACAAAAATAAATTGAAGGATGGATATGTTTGTCACAATTGGTTATATATATTTTCAAACTTTACATACATGCCTTGAAATATCAGAGTTCAGTGTTTTCTTATACTTTATTAAAAAAAGTAATGTAAAGGGTTTAGCTATTAATAAAATATATGTACTTTGTATATCATTTCAGCAACCTAGCTGACAGACTTAAAGAAAAATCCTGAAGAATAACACACTACAATTGTGAAAAATTATTATAACATATGATTAATACTTAAAACTAAATTATATAACTACAAATTTGTATTAATATACACAAGCTTACACACATCACAATCATTACAAGTGCACACTTTTTCCTCCAAAGGATGAAATTATTTTCAAACACTTTTGTCACAAGAACCCAGAATCATCCCCCACACCATAACATTAAGGCCAAGTTTCATCAACAGCAAGAGTAAGCTAAAACTTATTTTGGCTGCATAAATTTCTACTTGCCAGAATTACAATTTTGATCTAAATTTTACACAATTTTATAGATCAGAAAATGTTGTGAGAGTATCCAATGAAGAGCCAAATTCACATTTCTGATGACAATGCTAAGAGATCAGTATTATTAAATGAGATCAAGAGATCAATAATATTAAATGATGGTACTATTATGTAATAAAAACCTAAAATCCTATTTTATTTACAAGTGAAAAAGAATTTTACTTTATGGCATACCTTTTGTGTAAACTGGAAACATACTCAATTATGGGTATAACTATTACTCCTATAGTGCCAAATTAAAAAGTAGGCAGAATGAAAAGTAAAAGTTCTATCCAATTGTTGTTGTTGACTTGCTTTTGTTTTGAAACATTAGCCTTATCTATCCAGGTTTTTTACTCACTTTAACTTATTTTTTTTCTTGGGTATTTATTGTTGTTGTTGTTTTAGATTCAACTACTCAGAATAAAAAGTTCCAAGTAGCATGGGCTATGGTGAGCCCGTAATGGACTAACCTGGCACAGGAGTGGCACTGTAACTGCTTGGGTATTTTTTTCAATTCTTTACACATTCATGTTACATGGTACACCACTCAAAGTCCTCAACCTGTCTTACAATACTGGTATAAACAGAAGCTAGTGTGACGTCAATGTTGTCTTCCTTGGTGACCGGATTGTGTTTATCTTACCTCACCAGGGTTCTCTTCACTTAGTGTTCAGGCTTTCACATTTATAAGCTGAATCCTCTCAAGTCATCTTGCTTATGGACATTTCTGAGCCATCTCGGCACTGGGTTTATGTGTGTTTCTCTTCCCATGGGGTAGTCTGTTGACAAGTGGTTTCTGTTCCAAACTGTGTACCTAAAAGGCTATCATGAACAGCATATTGACCTAAGGGTATTCTGAGGTGCACATGTGACTGCCCATGTCACTGGCAACACACTCCTTCCCTGATTGTAAGGCTTTAACCCTTAAACCGCTAAGGGCTTATTGGCCTGCAACACTGCCAGGTGCAAAAAAAGAAAAAAAATACAAATATTTTTTTTGTCTTATAAAAGTGTTCATTTGTGTTCCCTGATCACAAAAAATTAATAAAAAAATCATAGGTGATATATTTTGGCCGCAATAGGGTTGGAAAGTATGGCAAAATTAGGGTGTTGACAAAGCAATCATCAGAGGCGGTCTGCTCCACTTGAGCTGTCAGGCGGGAGTTGCACAAAGATATTATTATCTAATTATTTCAATGTCTGATTGATTTTTTTCTAATTTTTTTGCAGTAATATTAATCAATAGTGTGTAGTGTGCTGTATTTATATAGTAAAATGTGTGAATCACCGATAAACTTAAAGTATTGTGTGCATATTAATGATTCAACTATTATGTTCATAAAACAGTAAACAAATAGTTTTGCTGTTATTACACTATATACACAGGTCATATATAAGTATCTGCATGTTTTGTTCACCATAACAAACCACTAAGTTAGTATGGTGAGTCAAAAAGCAGCGAGGAGGGGCCGCCACACCAGCCAGCCACTTGCCACCACTCCCTCCATTAACAATACCTCATTCGCCAACATTCTCTTCCCATCATACTGTTTTTGCTTTTATTCATTATATACAAATGTTATATATAAGTATCTACATGTTTTGTTCACCACAACTGTACAACTAACCTGGTATGTGAGTTCAGGCAACAAGAGACATTCGCTACACACACAGTCATCTGATGGCTGCCTCCCTCACTGGTTCAAGGCCAGACGCACTAACATTTCTCCCCCAACAATACTGTTTGTGGTGTTATTATACTATATACACACACATTATATATAAGTATCTACATGTTTTATTCACCATAACTGTACACCTAAGCTGGTATGGTACCCAAAGAGCATAGTGGCCATCCTCTACACAGCATGACAAGTCATGCAAACGATGCCACCTCTGTCACCCGAATGGCTCCTCCCAACATAATCCTTTTGCTGTCATTACACTAATACACACATTATATATAAATACAGTGGAACCTCTATTAACGAGTTTAATCCGTTCTGGCACCGAGCTCGTTATCTGGAAAACTCGTCTTAAGAAACAAATTTCCCCATTTAAAATAAAGGAAATAAATTTAATCCATTCCACTCCCAAAAACATCCATACTTGTATGACATTTTTTTATGTAAATATAATGCTGCACATGTAATTATAAATGTTTTTGTTGTACTGTTTTCATGTTTACTTTACCTTATGAAGAGTCGTTGCTGGCTTGAAGGAGATGATGGGGAGGTGGGAAGGAGGAGAGGGGTTATGGTTTGGAAGGAGAATCCACCTCTGAATCAGGTGGGCTCTCTCTTCTTGGGAATTTCACCCCACTGGGACCGGGTTGTGGTTCACTATCACTGGCTCTTCTTTTCTCTACTTTTGCAAAGAACGTATCTATTGACAATTGATTTTGTCTTTGTTTTAAGATGTTCCTAAAACAAGACAGCAAATTGTCATTAAACATGTTCACATACCAGGTTGTTACTGTTTTATCAGGGCAGTTTTTCCAAGAATGTGGTCACCTTTTCAAACATTCCCAACACTTCCCTGATCTCACTGGAAGAAGCAGCATCCTCCCTTACCTCCTCATCCCCTTACTAATGGTGCAAATTGTTGATGAGGCCCTGCCATACTCCCTTATGAGATCAGTCACACAGACACCACGCTCATGCTTTGCTATAATTTCCTTCTTTAAATCCACAGTAATTGTGTCTTTCTTCATCTTGACAACACTATCTTTAGCAAGCAGCTTCTTTGGTGACATCGTGCATTATAAATTATAGTCACAAAACTACAAAAAACTAAGAAAAGTACAAATAAATGCAGAGGGATGCTTGTCGTGCACGATACAACAACAACACTGGCATCGGAGGCATCCGAGAATTTGCGAGAACCCGTGAGACGCTAGGAAGCACCATGTGGTTTTGCTCGTTAATAGAGGTGAAGCTCGTCAATAGAGACAAATTTGCTGCGAGTGGTTTGCTCGTTACTAGAAATGCTCATAAATAGAGCTGCTCGTTAATCGAGGTGCCACTGTATCTACATTTGTGTTCACCATAGAGAACTACTGAGCTGGTATGATGAATGCAGACAGTAACAGGTGGAAACACAGTGTCAGCAGACGAAGCTATCTCCCTCCCTCAGCATTACTTCTCCCACCATACATCACAGTGCTAATTATCATAACAATCCTGTTATTATCAGAATCCTGGTCATTTTTATCACGGGGAGTTTTCTGTAATACTATCATCGCTAAATAATATAAGTTACATAAATATTTGGACATTTTTAGGCGATGTTGTGGATTGCCTAAAAATGTTTTTTTTAATTACATCTGTTTATAAGAGCCCTGAGGAAGCTGATGTGAACCCCGTGTAGATGTGGGACTTTTAAATCTTGTACTGTACACCCACATATCATATGATGTGGTGTGCAATTCTGCGGCAGTTACCGACTACATCATATGATGTGTGGCACAGTTTAAGGGTTAAACATTGTAAAAATGAGTTCTCTGGTCACATAAAAACAACAACAAAAATTATGAGGCGATCAATTAAATTATGTGATATGGTTTCATTGGCTATGGTAAAGCAAGGGAATTTCAAAGTGATATCACAATTCAGGAACATTTATGGAGCAATTGCCCAGTAATTACATAAGTGTAATTACATAAGTGTAATTACCTAAGTGTAGTTGCAGGATGAGAGCTACACTCATAGTGTCCCGTCTTCCAAACATGTGGTCCACAGGTAACAGTTTTCTATCCAGAACCACCCCAAGATCCCTTTCTTTGTGAAAATTCTTTAAAGATTTCTCACATAATTTATAGGTTGTGTGAGGTCTATGTTCTCCAGTTCCACATTCCATAACATGGCATTTATTCACATTAAATTCCATTTGCCAACTGGTGCTCCATTTACTTATTTTGTCCAGGTCTTCTTGAAGGGCATAACAATCATCTAGGTTTCTTATCTTCCCTCTTATCTTAGCATCATCGGCAAACATGTTCATATAATTCTGCATTCCATCTGGTAAATCATTTATGTAGACAATGAACATTACCAGTGCAAAAACTGAACTCTGTGGTACTCCACTTGTGACATTCCTCCATTCCGATACATTGCCTCTGATTATGGCCCTGATTTTTCTATCAGTTAGGAAATTTTTCATCCATGTCAGAAGCTTACCTGTCACTCCTCCAATATGTTCCAGTTTCCAGAACAACTTCTTATGTGGAACTCTGTCAAAGGCCTTTTTTAGGTCCATATAGATGCAGTCAACCCAACCATCTCTTTCCTATAAAATCTCTGTGGCTCGATCATAGAAACAGTAAATTC